TTCGCTGAAGCTTTCGGGAAAAACGCCGGAGCCCGCGCTAGCGGATGTGGGACTCCCACTGGCAAACCTCAACGTCATGTGTCGATCATCATGATGTGTTTTCGGATCATTTGCCGAAGCTCTCTGATGCCGTCATTTTGTTCCTTCCGGAACTGGAGCCAGGGATGACGCCTGTTGCATGAGCAGCTGAATGCAGGGATGTCTTGAGACAGGGTTCAGGCAACTCGACGCAGGCAGGTTTCAGGCAGTGAGGGCTCGCCAGTGCATGAGCGCAGTGCTTTTTGTCCGTGTGCTTGTCAGGGTTACTTCGAAGGTTGGAAGGCAACATAGGTCCGAGGCAGCCAGGTCTGAACGGAAGTCTCTGCAGCTGTTTAGTGCTGACGCATGCATTCTTTTATTCCTGTGAGTAGGATGTTGTTTGATGCGTGCACCGGCGCGTGCATGGGACCTTGCAGCCCACCGATGCATCCACCCTCAGCGCCTTATGCGCCCGTTGTTTGTGTCCATGCCTCTGCCGCAAGGCATGCCAATGGTCCAACACGGACGCCAGTACCATAGAAGCGACAGGCGGGACTCAAGGCATAGATCTCGCCACCGCTGCCGTTCCAGACATCAGCGCGCCAGGAGTGTGAGAAGTGCAAGCAGGAGACGCGACTCGCGCAGACGTCGTTCGTGACGCAACAGCCGTCGCCAGACCTATGCAAATGCCCGGCGCAGATCTTCGGATTCCCGGCAAGGGAGCAGGCACAGGTGCAGATGATCTACTACGCGCCACCGCCCCGGCAGAAGCCGCAGCATGGCCCAGGAGCGTCAACAGCGTGCTTTGTCTCCGAGCCCTCCTCGCGCACCCATCGTTCTGGTGTCGAACCTTGGATCTTCTTCGGATGGTCCTACGACTCCGGCCCAACCGCAACATTGTTGTGCATCAACGGCTGGGGCCACCACCACCCCTACCTCCACCATTGCCATTATCTGTGTCTTCTCCTGCCTTTGGGCACTGGCCTTCCGGGGCACCGGCCCACACTGCAGCACCTCATAGCATGCCAGCACATAGCTTAGGATTCATGCCAGCTTTGCCAGGTTTAGCCAGAGCAGTTTTCCCAAGGCCTTTCCCGTCGCCAGGAGGTCTTATGCCCTCCTCTGCACCCGCTGCACCACCGCAAACTGCAATTGCATCGCAACATGCCAGCCCTGCGGCCAGTAAGGCAAGCAAGTGCTGGCACTGTGGTGCCGAGTGGCCCCCACCATTCCTCAGCCAAACGGTCTTCCTGAGGACTGGATCGCAGATGCCGATTTTCTTGACAATCGTCGCAGCATTGGCAACCCACATTACCTCGGCACATAGCCTCTACCATGTGGGCTAAGGAGCGAGGTATTGCAAGCTTGGATGTGAAGTCACTGCATCCTTCCATCTTCTTGTTGCAGAACCGGAATAGCTATTGACTAAGATGGATCGCGCGTGGCAAGGAAGCTTATTTCTGTGTTGCTCGCACCAAGCCTGAAATGGTGCTGGTTGGTGAACTGCCTGCTCAAAAAACCTCAATGTTGACATCGATGTGCCACCAACCTGGCAGTTCAGACTCAGGGCTCTCAGGCAACAAACATTGCTACTAAAGCTTTGGCTCATCATCTTGTTGCTGAGCTTAGCTTCAGACGCTTGTTCCCGTACAAACAGACACTGAATCACACGATCGCATTCGGGAACTTGAGCTTCAGCTTGGTGAATTGCAGCATAAATTGCAGCAACAAGAAGCCTCCGGTTCTCCTAATCCAGAGCCTGCTGCCTCCCTTCAAACCCCTGCCCCCCACTCAACTGCCGGGCCTCCGCTTACCCTTTCTGGCTCTGCCGAACCCTCCAGCGCCAAGGCCCCACCGACCACCTCTGGCAACCCACTGCGACAATCAGTTGCCCGTTTCTTTCAGCCCGACAAGCACGAGGGCCTGTGCAGCAGTCCCCTCAGCCTGAGAGTGTCATGAAGCCGCCGCCCGAAGGCTCTACTTGGCTGTTGAACAGTCTACCTGCCAAGTTTCAGGACAAAGAACTTCGATCCTGGATCAATCAATGATCGCAAGAAAAGCGAGCTGGATGGATGGATCACCGAAGTTGAACAGTATGTCAACACCCTGGATGAGGAGGACAAGACCCTTACTTCCAAAATGCGTCGCATCGGAGTGGTTTGGGGTATTCCTGTCAGTGTTATCTGGGGTATTCCTGTCAGTGTTATCTCAAGGATGGCAGTGGCTTCTTACAAGGAGAGGCTACAGACACCTCGGCAGCACAACAAAACCGCTGGGCTGCCCAATCCCTTCGCCGAATTTTGCAAGAATTGGCACCAGACATTTTGCATCTTGACTTTCAAATTTTGCACCTCGCCCAATGCTGCATTGCTCGCCTGGCATTGGATGAAGTACGCACAACTCTTTCAGATTTGCAGGTGCTGAAGGGTGGCTTCAGAGCAGTGGGAATCCAGCCGGGCTTCCCCACTTTTGCACAGTTTTGCCGTGAATCAGTTCTGTACTTGCGTTTCTGCCCTCGTAAGCGCCACACCAAGCTCTAATACATGAGCAGCACCGAAGGCTGCACCTCTTTTCGCGAAGCTTCCAGATATCGGAAATTTACACAGACAAGCTTTTCTCTGCCGAACTTTTGCCTGAGGTACTGGGTCAGAGGTTCCACTTTCTGTGGCAGTGAGTCGCTGTTCCCATATCTTCTGCAGTTCCCTCCAACATTTTACGTGGCAGGGAGCATGCAATGATTCAAACCCTTCAGCCGCCACTAAATTTTCCTTTCATCACTCGGTGGTTTTTGCTCCCAAAAGGCCAGCTCGGCAGAAATACAGCAGCACATTTTGATGCCAGCAAAAGATTTCGCAGTTCTGAGTTTTCATCCCCTGCCTTGCCCGTCTTGCATCGCATGGCCAAGCGTTTGCTTGCATACATGTCACCGCAAGCTGTGCGCACCATTGCTCCCCGATGGGGTCGCCCCTCTCACCTGCGCTTTGCAGTATGGTCATTTCTGCTCATGTGGAGATTTGGCGCCGCACCTTTTCGCAATCTTTTCGGATATGAACCGTAGCCTGCTATGTTTGCGGTATGTGGACAACCGCCTTTGGATCTCCGAAGACAGATTTGCAGCACTTCCTGGCATCCGATTGTTCCTCAGCAACCACTGCTACGGTGGCAACATCGTACTGGAAGATGAACCTGCCTTTGACTTTGTCGGGTTCTCACTTGACATTCCTGACCGTGTCATCCGGTACAATCGCTCGTGCCAGGCTAAGGACCTTCCCAGCCATTTGTCTGCTTCCCCCGAAGCCATGCTGGTCAGTGGCATTCTTGCACGTGCACACACTATCAAGAAGTGTGCATTTCCTCCAGAGCAAGTACAGGCTGATCTTCTTTACTTTAACCTTGCTGTGGAACGTAAGCCTCCTGTGCATAACCCAGCCTTCTTCCAGAAATTCTGGAACAAGTAATGTTGCCGATTCGTGCAGTGCAGTGATAAAGACACTGCAGTATGCCTTCATGCTTGTTTCATTTGCGTGTTGACTGCTTGCACATGTTCATGTTTAGGACGAGGCTCAAATTCTCTTTGACTTAGTGCTTTTGCCCAGCATGTCGCCAGAAGGAGCCGATACCAGCCCTGCGGCTCCGGACCGAGCCGCGTAGCCGATGAATCGCAATGTCATCGCCGATGCTTTGTTTCAGATTTTACATGAACAAGCAGACAGGCATGCCGAAGAATCCGATCGCAGCTCTTGTCGATCAGACAACTCGGTGGAACGTGACCGTGCCTTCCGCCTGCAATTGGCTGAGTAAATCGAGATCACCACCCAAGAAATCTCTGAACTCAAAGAAAGGGTTCAAAAGCTTGAAGATCAGCTGCAGCCCTGAGTGCGGCACTAACCTGCCAGTTTTGCAAACAAGATCTGTCCGTGCAGTCCTCTGTTCGCCAAGAAGTGCGGACTCGCACCTTTGCCCGCAGCCGTTTCTTCACGGAGGGAGCAGTCACGATCATGCCAAACCGTAGCCGCAGTCGCTCTTCCATTCCGGTGGCTTGGAAATGGACGTGGAAGGCCGATGGCCAGAGTTGGTGGTGGGAATGGTTTGAAGTCAGCCGCCAATCAATGGCTCGAGTCAAAAAGACAGCGACAACAGCCACCACCTGTGTCTGTACCGACCGACGACGTGCTGTCTCCGAGTTCAAGAAAGAGAGCACGACCCAGAACTCCGTAAGCAGCGAGCTCCTCTGATTTTGGGGCACATAATTCATTTTGCTATGCTTTCCCAAGAAAGCATGTCATCATGCATCAGAGCCTTCCACTCAGTGGGTTTCTCGCACATCATGACGTGAAGGAAAAGTTGCGACAGCCCCAGTCTGGGGCATGTGTGTGAAAGCACTTGGACACGGTGATTCATTATGATTCTGCTGCAAGCGATCATTCCTATTTCAGTTGCAGGGGGCACAGGCCTGGATACCTGTGCCAACGAAGCTATTCCAAGACAGGGGATGGGTGGCCTGATCAGCCACCTGTACCTGCAACGGCCAGCCCAAAGTACCCTTAAATGTGTTGCTTCCAGTATTGGCCGAAAAGTTCAAGTGATACTGCTTGGTTGCGGTAATCTGACTTTGCATCACATAGTCCAGAGTTCATCGCATCAGTTCTGGCCAAGCCTGAGTGTGTGTGGACGTTGCTTTTCACAGCAGGGAACATGACATGAGAGCAGGGATTGCGTCCAATGAAGCCAACTCTGTGTACCTGCTCTATAACGGCAAACTATGGCAAGAGCCTAAGGACCCCATTACAATGACAAATTTTGCTGGCATGCAGTTTCGCTTCCGTGTTGCATTTTTTGGATTGTTCAGGAAATCCGACTTCTTAGCTTTGCATCGATGACTACCGTTCGGGATTGCGGTAAGCCCCAACCGATGAAGAATATATCCGATTTCCCTGCGTCGGCCTTGCTGCTAGGATGGTGCCGGAGACACCGAGGTAAACATGCAGCATGCCAGAGCAACTGGCATCGCCCAAAATGTATCGTGTACGAGCATGATCACGGCCCCGAGTGGGCCCTGCGGGGGTGCCTTGGATGCTTTGCATCCATCTGACGAACTTTGGCACCGATTTGATGCAGGTCGTGAACATCGTCTAGGACGGCTTTGTGCCTTTTGTTGGGGAGTCGGAGACGCACATCACCAGTTACTCTTTTCGTCAACGTCCTCCCCGCCTACGCGTCACTGATCTGTGTGATCAAGTGCTTTGCTGGACCTTTGTTTCCGTGCCCCATCGGTCGGAGATTCCATCTTCGGAGTTCAAAGTGAACACAGGTCAAAGTTCTATAGCCCTTTTTTCAAACCGTGGGCTTCCCAGCCTTGATCTTCGGAGTTGCAGGCTTATAGAAGCTCAAGATTTGTCGAAGTTCTGATTTTGACATCTGGGGTGCCCATCAGTCCAAGGCTCCACCAACGGGTTCCGAGGTTTCCAAGAGTTCTGCTTTTGAAATCATGCGTGTGCCAACAGTCCAAGACTCCATCCTCGGTCAATGCGTAGAAGAGTTCTGATGTTTAAGTAATGGGCGCCCCACCAGTCCGAGGTTCCATCCTCGGAGTGCAAGGTTTGTGCTTTGAGAGTTTTGCTTTTAAAAATCAAGGGTGCCCCAATCAGTCCAAGGCTCCAGCAGGCTGCATCCTCGGAGTTCAAGCTTCTCAGACCTTTGGTTATCGAACAATGGGTGCCCCATCAATCGGGATTTCCATTCTCGGAATTCAAAACGGGTCCTGATCTAAATTTGGGGGCGCGGGAGGTCAAAACTCCAAGAGCCGTTTCTTAAAATTAGGGGCGCCCGGCTCCATCCTCGGAGTTCAAGATTTCTACAAGTTCTATGGTAAGAGTTCTGATGGAGAAATCATGGGTTCCAAGGTTCAAAGGGTTCTGATAATCAAACGATGGGTGTGCCCATTAATCGGAATTCTGATGTTGAAATCTCGGGCGCTCTCTCAATCTGAAGCTCCACTGTTGGAGCTGAATAAGGCTAAGTCAAGAGGTTTGACTTAAAAGCCGGGACAGCCTGTCAGTCCAGGAAAAACCCTGGAGTTCAAGATTGCAATGAGTTATAATTTAAAGTCGGGGGCGCCCGGAATGCTCTCATGAAGGGTGCGTGGTCCTGCTCGAAAAATTCGCGTTCCAAGATTTCGATACTTTTGCATCCATAGTATCAAATACTTGGAGATGGTAGTGGGGCTATCAGATTTTTTGATACACCTCGGGTGTTTGGTATGATTTGCATTCAGTGAATGTGAGCAAATTTTCGGCGTCCGGCTGGGGGCAGACCGGATTTTCACGCTTCAGTGATGTCGAGTTCCGAATCTCCGTGCCTGGGGGCAGACCGGCTTTGAACATTATTGGATTTGAGCACTGAATTTCGACGTCAAGCGCATTTTCGGCATCAGGTTGGGGGCAGACTTCAGTGAATTTGAGCGTCCGATTTCGGCGTCAGGCACATTTTCGGAGTCAGTCTGGCGGTGGACCGAGTTTAAGCTTCGAGCGACGAATTGCGGCGTCAAACATTTTTTCGGTGTCAGGCACCGGGCGATTGGAGGCCTTTGCAGAGCCGAGGTAGTCCCGTGCATTCGGATAGCATGTTCGGCGCCGAATATGGGCGTCGGGCGCGTTTTCAGGTGTCAGGCTATGGTGGATCGAATTTTGGCGTCACCGCCATTTTATGCTTCGGCCGTTTGCAGAATTGACTATCGGCGCCGAATTTGAATGTCAGCCGAACTTCGGCTTCGGCCAGGCCCGACAGAGTTTGGGCGCCGAATTTAAGCTTCAGAATTTAAATGGGGACCCACTTCCCCGGGTCCTTGGACATGTGAATACAGTACTGCGTAAGCTCATTCGTGCCGGTTGCCTGAGGCCTCCAAGTTCCGAATCCTGCTGGAGGCCTGAACCATCCTGTGTTTACGAGTTTCGGATGCAGTCCTTGGCATGCTGTCTTGACATAGTTGTCAGGCTTGACAAAATGACGATACATGACGATGACACAGACTGGATAGTTAAAAGCCTATAGCTTGCTAGCGTCTTCTGTAGATTCTGCTTACGTGCCATCTCTCCTTGTGCGCGTGGAGGGGATTCGTTTGATGTCGGACGGGCATTTTGCATTTGTGTTGATGTTTTCGACCTGCTTTGCAACTGCTCGTTCTTGCAGACAAGCAGGTCGCCAAAACTAAGGTCGAGTGAGAAGAGTCTTGTCGAGGATTTTGCGTCGCAAATATGGCATGCTTCTTGCTCGTCCGTCTGTTATCATCTGTTATCGGCTTTGGTCTCCGTTCTGAGCTACCAACCTGTTTGAACCTGTGGCATCGTTTCGGAAAAAAATCGAAGCGCAAACATCGGCGCGGCTTCCCGTGATCGAACACTGCCTAAGCTCTCTCTGCACATCGAATCTGGTTGGGTTTCCTTGTGCTATGATTGGGTCCCAAGTCTAAATTCGAGGGACAACGTGTGCCGAATATCGCGCATCCGTTTTGATGTCGGGAGTGGCGTCGGCTTTCTGGACATCAATGATGCAAAGCTCAATTTAACTTTGTTTCCTCCGATGCACGTGGCAACGGAGTGCAAAATGTGCAAACTCCTATAGCTGTTGGTCGCGAGTCCCGCTTTGGGATGTGGCTTAGAACTGCACGCGTGAACGAGGATCAAGTGGTAGCGTCGCAATCGTGTCTGCATCGGAAGGTCGTTGTGCTCTGGGGTGTGCTGCTTACATGACGATGTTGTAAGGGACTCAACCTGCGACAGCTTTGATCAAAAGCGCCACTGGCTCGGGCCAGAATACCCGCGTGACCGCCGGACAGAAGCAGATGCACAACGCAATGTTGGTCAAGCAAAAGATTCGTTCCGAAATTAGCACAATCTCGCCGATCTGGACAGGACGCCAAGCTGAGGAAAGCTTTATTTTATGTTTAGCTGTGTGGGGCTGCTGTCCTTAGCTGGTCGGTGAGTGGCTGATCTTGGCGCTGAGTTTGCTCTTATGCTTTGGCCGCTTCTTGGGGGCCGGGCCAGCATGAGTGTGCAAGTGCTGCCTTGCAGAATCGGAACAAGCGGGATGTTGGCAGAGGAAAACGACGACACCAAGAAGTTGCCAGAAACATGGACGCACATGTTTCGTGCATTTCGCCGAACGCCAGGCCGAATGGCTTTTTCCTTGGCTATTAGCAAAGCTGTCGTTGAGCTTTTTGGAAGTCAAGAAAGCGGGGATTGGACTAACTCGATGACACCTTTTATAAATGTTCCTAATACCTGGACACATTCGCTCGCCTTGTGCTCTTGGCGCCGTTCCCGTTTGTTGGAAGAGTTACCGTTGCGTGCCGCTGTCGCAAAGCTTGCCAGGAGCTGCAACTGCCGCCTCGGACCCGATGCAGCTTCGTGTTCGAGTTCAAGGCTTGTTCAAAGGCTTGGGAAGCGAAGATACTGTCTAGCGCAGGTCACTGGCTACGAAGTTGAGCAACTTTTGCAGCGCTTTTGTGCCGAGCACCCAGGATCGACTTACCCGGAGTGAAGTGCAGCGATGTATGTCCTTGGGCCTTACGAATCAGTGAGGTTCGCCGATTGTCGCTGATGCCGCAGGAAGACAAGGATGCCCTGTATTGGATCATGACATGCGCTGCAGCAACTCTGCAGCCAGAAAACCGGCAACTTGTGTGACCGTGAAAGCCGTGAAAGGATGGAGCTGGCCAGGCGCAGCGCAGCTGGAAAGCAGTGACCTTGTATCGAGAGTCAGAAAACTATGGAAGAAGTAAAGTTGCTTTGCTAAGTGGAAAGCGTTTGAGGCCTTCCCCGAGTCTGGCCTCCAGGTGTTATGTTTGCGAAGGCTGCTTGGGCACTGCCTCGAGCGAAACATCATTTTCTGCGTCCTACATAAACACTACAGCCATCCAGCGCTGACCAGTTGTTCGGACGAAATCATCCAGTCGTTCTTTGCCGTGAGCCCTCGATTACGCAGTCTTCAATTGGCAGGGCACCTACCGCAACTTGTTTTCGATTTTTCCTGGAAGGCGAAGAGTCCAGCAAGCGCGTCCTCCCGCAAAGAATACGTTCGCAACCCTTCAGCATAGCGAACGAAACCGTGGAGAAGCCAGGAAGTAGCTGGTTCAAGGCCTGCTGGTGCAGAGTGAGGAGAACGGGGACTGCAGGGAAGCGGCCCAGAAGGTGACTAAACCTTTCCACCAAAAGTTTTCGAACAATCTCACGGGAAGTGAGATGGGTTTCATTTCTTTTCCATGTACTTTTACATGTTAAGAATTATCTCTCTTGCGCAATTCGATTATTAAACAGTCACCATGCTGAGCATGTGGAATGATTCTTGTGCTTGCCGTGCAGTCGGCCCACCAGTGAGGGAGAAAATTCTGTGCTCGCCCGCCCAACCCTACACGGGGGTATGACTGCGCCGGACCTCGTGCGCCGATCATCCGAGATCGGGAGGTGTGTGCGTTTTTTGAACTGGTGGCCGGCACTTGAGTTTCCCCCCTCAATCCGAGTGTGGAAGTCACAGTCACTCCTGGCCCTGGCGCTTGCACGCGAGGTAGTCCGGTTCCGCCGCAAGAGCGCCCGCAGGATGTCCAGCCCGAAGCGACAAGTTGACGTGCATACTTGAGTAGATCGACTCGGGAAGGGTAACTGGGTCTGGTTGCTGAATTAAAGCGCAAGGCCCAAACATTGCCTGTTCGTGGAGCTGACACTCCGCGCAGAGACCTGCGCAGCGGTCCTCCCATGCACTTGCACCAGAGAGACTGTGGGTCACCAGCAGGAGCCTTCTCTTTGCAAAACAAATGAAGACCTTTGTACAACCCACCCGGACCCCAAGATGCCAGCAGCAGGGACCAACCTGCAAGGTGTCACATTTTGTCACATGTCGCCCACTCCCACAGTTTAAGCTACTTGTGTCTCCAAAGTCGCACAGGCTTCTCACTTCTTGCCTGAGGTTCTGCATGCGTGTAACAAAGTCCTTGTAGTCTTTTCTTGCCTGAGGCTTTGCGTTTCACAAGTTCAAGCTTGCCGACGGAGAATCTGACAATATCTGAGAGGAGAGTCTTCACATGATCTTGGAAGAGTAAGGCTGGCTTCTGAGGCTAGCCAGGTGTTCTGGGTTCAAGTGACCAACCAAGGGCTTTCCCGGGCCTCGTGGCCCAACTCATGCGCATTCACAAAAACCCAAGGGTCTGATGACAAGCAGAGGCAGCGAAATGCCTGTGACGCCGAGGTCGACAGCAGATTGCAAAGCATGCCGTTGGCGATTTCGCAACGATTGAGCAGCCTCAGCTTGACCGGGGCAAGCTCAGCATGTGCTTTGACGAGCTTCGACATTTGACAAACACCGCAAATGGCAGATCACGAGTTTGGCCGACGAGCAGTTGTCGAAGCTGATCGCCAGCTGTCAAAACCTTCGGCGCAGTCCTCGTGCCGCCACGTGTCATGTCATGAGTCTGAAGAGTCAAAGTATGACTGCTGAGGTCTCTCTATATTGCCAAATGCCATGTTTCTCACATTTCCTTTGCTTTGTCGAACCTGGAGCTTCTTTCTGCGCTTAGCTCAGAACTGAAGGTAATTTAGTCAATTTTTTAAGGGACTGAGCTAGTTGCCGGATTAGGTGACGCACTGCCAACAACTGACGGAGCGGTTGCTGCACCGCCAGCCGTGCATGCCGAAGTGATGGAACTGCTGACGACTTGGACAGGACCAGTGTGCTACTGAGATCTTGTCTCCGGTGAATAACCCCCGTGTGCACCTGAGTGCTTGTTGGATATCTTTTAAGTTGCAAGTCTACGCCTCCTTGCCAAAAGCTTCGAGGTCTTCGTTTTGTGGACCTCTCGGAATGTCAAAGTCTGACAGCTCCAACGGCCCGAGACCCTCGAACCCGTGGTATGCCACGAATGTGCGGGGCGCGACACAGGTCGAGCACCCGCAGATGGAGATCGCCTGGCTGATGCACTGCCCGCAACTCACCGGGCAGGCTGTTACTAAATACGACGGCCCTTGCCTGCACCTTTCCGCTGGATGACAACTTTGGAGGTGGTCGCAGCCATGTCGGGTTCTCGGTCCAAGTTGATGTTGCCATGCTCAAGACTGAGATGGCAGGTTCCGGAGTTGTACAGCGCTGACTGCAGTGAACCTGGTGCCTGCCACTTGTTCGTGTCCCCTCCATGCATTCACCATTTCAACATGCAGTGTTCTGCAGTGTTCTGTAGTTCTGTACATGTCAGAATTAGATGTTGCAGCGGCGGCCTTTTCAGCTCAAGTCCGCCCAGTCGCTGTGCGCAGTGGCTGTAGCGAAGGTGCTACCTGAGCCGAGATTCGCTGGGCTAGTCACTAGTCCTCAAGGTTGAGCTGGTTGTGACAGAGGCCTAGCATATACAGGGGTACGATTGGTCCCTCCCTCACATTCACGGGGCCTGACAGGTGGACATACCATGGCTTGCCCGACTGCGTTGCTGGCTACTCTCAGCCCCTGTCTTATCGGCCGAGAATTCCCGAAAAGATCTGCACTGCTCCAGCGTGCTGTCGTCGGGTACCAGCTACGTGCCTAAGGCCTGTTCGTGCTGGCCGACACAAGCTTTGTGCCATTTGCTGGAGTCGAGGCATCGCATCTAGACTAGACTTGTCGCTTGTGGCTCGAATTGTGCGAAGAGGAGCTGAAGCCGCATCGTATCCACGAGCACTGCGACGAGTCCACCATCGGCGAGGAGGGCACTCGGGCCACTCCCAGGAGCTCGCGTTTGGGTTTGCAGATGCGTGCAGGATGGCTACCGGTGGTGTTCGCGATCTTTCAGGAAGCGTCTTGAGGACTGGCCGTTGCATGGAGCATTCTGGGCATGACACTGACTCCCACGACCTGGCAAGCGCGCCTTGTTTCTTACAGCGATCTCCTGGGCCCAAGAGGCTCATTTGGTTCAGCCCGGCAGGAATTTGTTCGTCAGATGGTCGGAGGGGTCCCAACACTTTGGGTATCCTCAGACCCGCCAAGACTTCCTTTGAGACACCAGGACGTGCCAGGTTGCACGGGCCAATGAAGATGTTGGAAAGCTTCTTTCGAAGGCTTTCACCACCTTCTAGGCTTCGCATCGAATACGTAGATCTCGATCCCCTACCCCTGGTTCACATGTTTGTCTATTTACTTCGGTTGTTCGTTAACTCCATCCCCACGTTTCTCCCTTCGATGTCTCTTCTCCCATACGTGCACGCACTTGCCTTTGCACACGGACCGACATCTGGTTACTCTTGATGGCAACTAAAGACTACAGTATCAGTATTAAGTACTAGTACGGCACCAAGTAGTAAAGTAGTACTGGACTCGGCAACGACAACGAGGCAGGCGCGGAGGACTGCGACAATGACCTGGATAACGGCAACGGTCATGATAAGGATAACAAGAGCAACCCTGTGTTTTCAGCTGCGTACCGCTGTGCCGCAATTGCACCACTCCTTCGGCCCTTTTGGCGCTGTGACACTCGCCTTCGTGCTGTGCAGTAAGTCGGGTTGTCGGAGCGTTTGGTCTGGAGATGCCTTCGATTCCAGAGATTTTTTCGATGGAGAGACGATGTGTCTCTTCATTTCCCTTCCGGACCTTGAGAACAGTGATGGCTCTTGTGTGGCTTCATGCTATGCCGTTGTGCGCAGCATGTGCGAGTCCCGAAGTTGCCCAGTCTAGGAGGTTCAGTCGCGAAAGTTCGGGAGGATGGCGCCGATGTGGAACTGAGTTGGTCAATGCATGTCAACCCAGATTCCATCTTGTCCTTAGACACAGAGGCTGGGCTTGCGAACCGTGGCAGTTCAACAGAGAAACCACTGTTTCCCCAAGGCAGAACATGGTGTCAGAATGGTTCGATGTTCTCCAGGTCAGCCGGAGCCTATGTTTGCAGAATATGATCGCAATGTGCAATTCGCAACAAACACTTCATGCTCCAACTTGCTCGAGTTGAAGCAGCCCGGCTGCATAAGTGCCGACTGTTTCGTGATCATGCTCTAACGCGGGATCTATATTCTTACGAATGTTATGACAGAACACCTGTATTTTTGTCGGGTGGTGGTGTTTCGCACGTGTGCGTGTAGGAAGAAGCTCTCGCTGTCGACTGCCGAAGCTTTCGGCTCGACCGCTTGCGACTTTGCTCTCCCCCGCCCTTCGTTGTCAATCATGGCCTCGGGCGCCTCGTCCTCGCCATCCGCCGCCGCAGCTGCCACCGCGACTTCGGCGACCTTGCCGCCGATTTCGCCATGGCGGCTGGCTTGGATTTGGCGGGGACGCCGACGCCAACGACTTCGGTGTCTGCTACCACGCCACACCGACGACGACAGCCCTATGGACCATTGCGTCTGGAGACCACCCCAATCCGCCCATGTCGGGCGCAGGGTGCCAACGGAGGGGTGGGTCCACATGGTCCCCATCCTATTCGACTTGGTGAGCTTCGTCAGCGACAACAGCCACCAAGACATCATCCTGGCGATGGACGCCATCGACTTCGACATGTTGATGGACGCCGCCTTGGAGGCCCGCATCGAGCGAGATGCCGGCGGGGGCGGGGCTCCGGCTCGTCGTCTTCTGACTCGCCGGGCCCTCGGACAGGGTCCTCCACTGAGAGCGGCCCCGACGCCGCAAAGTCTCACACCTTCTGGCAGGAGCGCGTCGAAGCCCAAGGGGCGAGCTGCGGCGGCGTCGTCCGTCCCAGTCAGCGACGATGAGCCGGTGAGGAGACCACGGCCCTCGAGGACTCAGGAAAACTCGGTACAGTACTGGGCCTACCGCAGCTTCGTGCGGGCTTCGTTCAAAAGATGGGAGAGCGCGTTTTCTACGATTTCGGCATGGTGAAGCCTCACCTCTTGGCGCGCTTCGTCTCGCGCAAGGCGTTTATATGTGTGCTGGAGATCCTCGCCCAGGTCCTCCCGCTCGTCACTTTCGCCAGGCGGCCGCTCCCGCCACATTGGATCGTATTCATCGACAAGGTGGCAGGCCAGCTTGCGCTTATGAAAGGGTACGGCAAAGACCCGTCTGTTAACGGCATCCCTGCGGCCTTTTGGGACTGGCATCCGGCCGTGGCTTGCCGACTTCTACAGCGTCCAGTTGGAAGCCAACATCTCCGATGCCGGCTCTCGGGGAGGTGATTCCCTTGCTCGTCAGGAGGGCTGGGCTTCGGGTTGGCGCACCGGTGGCCGAGGTCATGTTGACCCTCGGCAGATCTCGGCAGGGCACCACAGACATTATAACTTCGCCTGCCACGGAGCATCTGAAAGGCTTTTGGATTTAACGTCTGCGCAGAAGTGCGCACCCCGGCGCCGGCACTGGTTTCTGGGGGCGGTGTGTCTGGCCGGACGCTGTTGGCGCTTCGACCAAAAGAAGGTATCACCGCGTAGTACATTTTGGGTATAACACGTCGTTAGCACTCGAGCCGGTTGTGTAGCGCACGTGTGCGTGTAGGAACAGGCTCTCGCGATCAACTGCCGAAGCTTTCCGCTCGACTGTTTTCGGTTTCCCACCCTCCCCACCTTCCGGGGTTTTACACGTTACGACATCGCGGCCGGCATCCGCCCAACCGGGCGGTCACCTGACGGGTGCGGCACAGAAGTGCACACCCCGGCACCGGCACCGGTTTTTGGGGGCGGTGTGTCCGGCCGGGCGCTGTTGGCGCTCCGAAAGAAGGTATCACAGCCCAATAACACGGCGCCGGTGCTGGTGCTGGTGCTGGTGCTGGTGCTGGTGTTGGTGTTGGTGGTCGTGGTGGTGGTGGTGGTGGTGGTGGCGGCGGCGGTGGTGGTGGCGGCGCTGGTATTATATATGTATGTATATGTATAATATATGCGTGGATGTATGTATGTATGTATGTATGTATATATATATATATACATTACACACACACATGTATACAAATACATGTTTATATGTGCGCATGTGTATAAAAACATGTACACATACAAATGTGTATGTGTGTGTATAAACAGACAAACAAACAAACAGATATATATATATATACTATATATATATACATAATCATACACACACGTTGTCTGTGTATGTACGTAGCTACGTACGTGCGTACGTGCGTAAGCAAGTAAGTAAGTAAGTAAGTAAGTAAGTAAGTAAGTAAGTAAGTAAGTAAGTAAGTAACTAAGTAACTAAGTATGTATGTATGTATGTCTATATATATATGTATGTATGTATGTATGTATGTATGTATGTGTGCAAATACAGACTGCGAAAGTAACCCCTGCGGGGGCTTTTGTGAATCTTCGGTCTTTCGAAACTGAGGTCACACAACAACACATTGCAAAGCCATTGTGATGCCAGCAACGACAACTTCTGCATGTACTCCCCAACTAGGTGATGTAAGTACAAGAGTCAGTGTGCATTGCTTGCACTCGTGCGTGCATGGGTCGGAACTGGCGTCTAAATCTTGAAAGATGCCTAGAGGAGCGAGTTTGCGAGGGTTGAACTTTCCGTTTTAGGGAACGGCTGACGGATCGCACAGGTCTGGGTAGGCGATGCAGAAGAAATGCAACATACCATTTCCAATCTTGGTGTATTTCTTTCTGTTTGTTTCTGTGTCTGTCTATACTTGAAACACGAGGCGGCGGTACAGGGTACAGGGGCTTGGGATGTCTATGTGTTTGCATCTGTGACAGCAATACTGACTCGCCGAGTCGTGGAGAATGCGTTCGCTCAGCACTTGCCTTGGCAAAGGGCGGCGAAAGGACGAGCGCGGCGTGTACAGTGCAACCACTTGACTTTTCGGAAGGGCAACCCAATTCGCTGCAATGATCTTCAACGTGTTTATCCGTGCCATGCTGCGGCAATGACAGAATTGAGCGACGTCCTGCTCAGGTTGGAGATGGATGTTCCGCAGACGCACGTGCAGACATCCTTGCATGACTTCGGCTTGAGGCATGTTTCGGATTTGTGCTTCTTTTCGCGTGGCCAGGCATCTGGAAGTTGGCAAGTTCATTGTCGGATCCCACTATGTCCATGGTTGCGACCATATGAACGGTCAGAGCTTTTTCCACAAAATTGCGAAGGCAGGTGTCTCGAACGATGTTGATGGAAACAGCTAGGTACTTAGATGTTTGGAAGGTGCACAGCAAGCGTTTGTCTGATGGTGCTGGGCGAATGTATCGGTTCCAGTTGGCTGCGCAGGCCAGTTGTTGTTGCTGTTGCTGAGAGAGAATTCAATTTGTGTTCCGCTGTGACTCTGGCAGAACTTGCCTCACATGGGGCACGTCGCGCGACATGTCTCCTTCAACTTCAGCTACATGCCCATTGAGGCATATTATTTGAGACAGGTTTATGGGTGGTGGCTTGTCTATATGTGGACGTGTTCAGGCACGCGAGACTCACAAGAAGTATCCAGAAAGACGTGCCCAAGCATACTCGAGTCTCGAGTAGTCTCGACTTGTTCTTGCGAATTCTTCCCTCGACTTGTTCGAGGTACGTTTTCTGATCTGCCTCCACACGATCGCAGGCAGTCCGGACGGCGCTGGTTTCTGCTCTCTGACTTTTGCTCTGCTCCAGAGGCTCTTCGAGTTTCCGAAAATCCCCGGCCACAACCTGAGAACGTCAATGAGGTCGCTGTGCAGGAAGCATCTCAATTCTTCGTACCTCAGCAAGCATGGCAGAGACTTGGAGCATGACAAAAAAGTGGAGTGCGGATACAACGATGATGCTCCTTGCCTTTGGCGGCATAGGAGCATTTTTAAGATTCTCTTCGACAGCTTTGCAGCCGAGGTTTTACCCCTCCTACATCTGGAAACTTTGCCGGGCAAGGCTCGTCAAAGTGGCTGTTACGGACGGGTTGCAACAGACTTCAACGAAAGCCCGTGTTGCTGCGCTTGTGCACCAAGTCAAAACAGCCCATGTTCCTATGTCATATTGCAATTTTGGGCGTGTGGTTCAAGCATAGGCTCTGGCGGAAGGTACTGAGTCGATGTAGGTGGATGTCGGCTTGGGAATCTAGGACTGGCTTTTGTGAAGCTGGAGATAGCGGACAGTCTCTGCCACCGTGTAGTCTACCTGGTGCACTTGTATGATATGACATGTTATTAGGTATGGTGTGGTGCAGCATGGTATGATGTGGCATTCGCACGGCATGGTATGGTATGGTATGATAATATAGCAGTAGGACATGTTAGAACATGACATAACTGGGCATGATATGATACAAATCTGCTCCACCGGATCCTGTTCAGGGGATCCTGTTCGTGTCAATATGCCGCATGCATGCATGCTGCGATTCTGGGGCGGAAATGGCCTGTGGGGATCAACAGCCCTGCTCAGAGTTTCGACCTACCCGTAGTCCCGGATCCCTCAACCGAGACATCTGCAAGCACCTAGTGCCTCAAAGAAAAACTTCCTAACAGTCGATGCATGGCCAGCACAAGCAGTGGTAGACTGTCGATTGGCTTTTCTGCATTTCTGCTTATTGCGCTTGCTCCAGTGATCAGAGATCATTAGCCTGGCCTCCACTGCGACCGGCAGGATTGCGCCTCGGGGCCATGCAAGGCTCATTAAATCTGGCAGTGCGGCAGGCCAGACTTCCGGAAGCGTGAAGACTCAGAATGGCATCGTCAACTTCTCACCGCAGCAGGCCACGCAGCAGCAAAACAAATAGAAGTATGGAAACGTCAACATGACAGGTCTCCAACTTCGGCTGGAACTGGGACTTCAATCTGAACAATTCACAGGAGTGCCCTTTCGTGTCTTGAGAGTCTGCAAACGCCATACGAGTCGGAAGCAATGCAAGTAAAGTGCCTAGCTGCTTTGTTGCAGCCGGCTCTGCCGATCAAAGGATCATATTGAGTGCTGGCTTTCGGAAGTGCAGATTTTGTGGATGCTGGCACATGGTGCACCAGGAACCTTCGTTTACCATTGACCAGCCGGACACGAAGGGCCAGTTTGTTCTGAAAAATCCGTACATCCAGGCCTTATCTTCGTCTGCGGTCTAGTCGTCTAGGCAGTTCTCTTAGATGGTACCCACAAGCGCAAAGTGGAATAGCACATTGGATGAACGACAACTTGCAACCCTTTCTGATGTAGCAGCTTCAGCATGTGTGGTTTTGATCAACAGGCACACGCTGGATGCTTCCTGAACTTCACCTCGCAGTACGTAGGCGCAGATCAGCCTGTTCATTGCATCATATTGCATCAAGGCCACAATCGCAATGCCGGGCCATCACGTGACTGCACACACTTTCAACTGCCGATGTTGCAGGAATGTCTTGTCATGTAGGGGCTCAAGCCGCTAACAGTGGTGACGAGAGGGGCTGGGGTTCTTGTGTCTATTGTAAAAGGGTTTTGGCTACTGCTGCCGCTCTTTGTTCGGTTCGTGGCTCACTCTGTGGGCCTAACACCCCTAGAAAATATAGTTCGGCGAATCGCGCTGCATCCACAGTCCGAGTGGCGCTTTTGAAATTCAAGTTTGTCACGTCCTGGAAAGGCTTTAGATGTGTAGCGGTGTGTAGGACTTGGGCTGCCCTGTAATCTTCCGCTGCTGCTTGTGTCTACGCCAGCATACTTGATGCGGTTTACAGATTACAGAATGGAGACTGCTCGCTCGTGAGGCTTCATGAAACCCCCTCACGTCAAATGGCAAGCTGGCCTTAGGGGGCATGGCATCGTCCAGGCAGCAGAGAGTCAGTGTCAGTTGTTTGGTCATGGATGTATCTGAACAAAAACTTTCGTTTGGAGGGACGTTTGGAAGCCGCGATGAACTCCACACGCTCGGCAGACTTGGCGACTCCACCAGTTGCTGTGCGTCTCAGTGTCCACGCATCGACATCTGATTGGCACTCGCCAGGAAGCATCATCATACAAGTTGCCGGCAGAAGTTCTGGACATGCCAATCTGAAGTTGGCGCTTGATGCGGATCATTTAACTCGCAGGAAAACTTTCCATTCCTGCGGCTGTTGGCGAAGTTCGATAAAGTGAAATGGTGAAGCTTGCCCGGTTTGCTTACTTTGAACCTTTGGTGCCTGTGTGTTGCAGCTGCTACATCTTGGCATTCCTGCCAGGTTTGCTCCCATGGAGCACGGCGTGGGCAATCTGTGTTGAGCTCAGCTTCACTGAAACCGACCCGTGGTAGCCTGGCGTTGCGAGGTTCTCCAAGCACACTCTGTTCAACTCACCTTATACCCTTGTGTCCAGCCCAAAAATCTGAGCATTTGTATCATCGCAAGCAAACCTTGGGCGGAGCTTCCAAGATCTTCCAAGTACATGGATCGTAGCATCTCGTAACCTCGTAGCGATTGGGAGGCCAGCGAAGATCACGCCCGGGTTCCAATTCCAGGCCGTTCTACGGGAAAGAGCTGAGAGGCTTCCGAGGATAAACCGATACCTCGCTTCGCAGGTTGAATTCTACCACAAGGGCCCCTTCAGTGGATTTTTATCTTTTGGTGGCAGGCTGCTTTAAAGAGCACGTGCTCTTCAAATTTAGAGCAGTGTCCTGGTGCAGCACGCACGGCATCATGGAGCCAGTGCTGCACTACGATTCCGAGAAGGCTCTGCAACTCTGCTGGACCCGCCTGCTGCATCCTGCTCGCCCTTCACCCGTGCAGGGCTTTGATCAGACTCTGAAGGGGTTGCTGCGCGACACCGATGTGTGGCCGCCTATGTATAAGGTCTTCACAGAGTCTGAAAGCTCAGCTTCCTCGCAAAGTCAGCCACCATTGGCCTTGGTGTTCCGTGTTGCAGTCAACCTGAGGGCTTTCGAGATGGGCGTCAAATGCCAGCCCAGACTTTGGATAAGGACGAGCATGTCTCTGCGTTGGGAATCAGTGTGGTTCGAAGATATGGGAAATGCAGGGGCGATTTCGCGGGCTTCGAAAATGCCGAAGCGTGCTTCCACATCAACGTGTTCCAGTCAGTTCCTGAGTCTGCGAAAGGCAGAAGACGGCTTTAACAATGCAATGTTGGCCCCTTGGTAACCACAGGAATGTGACGGTCTATCACGACGGCGCAGCTCACTTCGACGTGGATGCGAACAAGGAACAGCGCCTTTCGCGAAGTTTTCATTTGTATCCCGTTGCGGCGGCTTTCTTTGCAGAGGCTCTCGTGATTTATCCGTTTCGGGTAGTTGGGCCGGCGACTGTCGACTTTGACACCAGGCGAGGCATTTCCGTGTTGTGCGACATCATGACCAAACACGGAAGGGCGAAGCCTGCATCTCCCCGTCAGGTACAAGGTTCAAATCAGTTGCCTGGGCAAGGAGGTGGTGTCTGATGCGGCGATCAGCTGGGGAGAGGTCGAGTGCTCCTCTCAGTTTCGAAAGCCAGCTCTGCATCCATCTCTGCATGGCTTGGTTATGGTCCTGCAGCACGCGCCTAGTGCAGGTTTCATGACCCTGTCTCAAAGTTCATTTTCGGCAATGCGACAGATGCTGAAGTCATGAATGCGGTGGTCAAAGTGACACTTATCCAGGTGCAGCGCCAGGGTAGTTAAAGCTGGATTGGAAGGAGCTACTTGGACAGGGTTGGTGGTCTTGTTCAGGTACATGGCAGCGAGCCCACCAGCCCGGTTACGACAATGGGTCAGAGCCAGGTTGCTTGGCACGAACCACTTCTTCCATCGGGTTGAAGCTGAGGTTCGTGCACATTCTCAATCACCAGCTGGACGAAACAAGGTGCCCCTTGTGTAAACAATGGAGGCAGTAGCAACTACAGAGTATACTTGCTAAGGTTTAACCGATCCTGATCCACGATGGTGCAACATACAGCACGAGTCTCGGCAATGACGCACCAATGGACGAGTGCAATCGTGCTCCTGCGAGCTTGGCAGGAATGATGCTGGCACGTCGGTAGGAAATGTGCAGGTGTATGTCGTGCACCAGGCGGTGCGGTGAACTGGTTGCTGATTGAATCTTCTTGCAACGTGCTTTTGCTTGTGCTTCTCGCAGGCCAAACCGGAGGTGTACCTGGCTTCTAGAATTAAGGGCATTGGCATGTCCTTTCCGCGCATCACACTGCAGCCTGCCTGGGTCTGAAGTCTGATGCGCACTCAAGATGCCCTGCTCTGGCGGTGGCTATGGCCTAGGCAGCCATTTGCAGCACTTTCCCACAATTGCCCGCCAACGCAGCCTGGCGTGATTGTTCATTTGATTGGGTCGGACTTTGCAGTTGGGCCGGGCTGTGCGTATTTCGAAATGCAGCCAGTGCCCGCTCGCTCTGCATCTGACGATGGGCAACCGTGCAGTCCTCAGGCTTCAGCGGTTCGGGCGGCGAGTCATGCTGCAGCTGCATTGTCAGTGTTTTGCAGGCAAACGCGTATAATCAAGGCAGACACAGCTTGCGAAGCTTCCGTAAATCAATGGAACCATGGGAGTCGCTGGCAGGAAATCCCGTCGCAACAGAAGAAGCTGTTAAGAATGCAAGTTTCTCTCGCCTTATCGCCGATGGCATTTTCACACTAAGCTCGCAGACGAAGCCCATTGAAATCATCGAACAGAAGCGTCGGCAGACTGGCAGACTGGCAATGCATGGTCGTCCGCATGTTGGGCATTGAAATGTATGCGAGGAACAAAATCGATTGATTTGCGTCTCGCCGGATGGATCTGGTAAGTAGATGGCAAGCTTCCTTCCAAAAAATTCCATATCTACATGAGCTATAGATGCTATAGTCTAACTCCTAATACCCCCGTTAGCAAGCCCTGTAGTAGTCCCCTGCACAAAGGAGTTTAGACTATCGTACACATGATGCAGTAGACAAGCCTCTCTTTCAGTCCTGAACGGCGAAGCTCCTTGTGCAAGGTCGTTACAGTGCCGGCATCCAAAAGACGTTCAGCTGCTCGGAGACGACTCTGCCGCTGGATGTGGAAGGCAGCCTTGGCGCATTCCGTCTTGCCTTCGTGCAACCTCAGTAGCAGGCATAGTAGCAGGCATGGTGGTGGTAGTAGTAGTAGT